AAGATAGTAATTGGGAGGTTAGCTAACGTACTCTTGATTAAAGTAAGCCTCCCCCTTTAGACAAAAACTTCTCTTCCATCTGCAAGTCTCCTTTCAACCAACTGCACAATCGGATCCAAGTTCTAACGTCTTTAAATTTCGCCCCAAGAGGAATCCCAATTGTGCTTCTTTTTTTTTCTTTATTTTCTATGCTCCAATTCTGTTCTGTTACCATTCTTTATGCTATCCTGGATCTGTTCTTAAATCTATATTGTTTCATTTTGTGATGATATCCTTATTTGATTTGGATATAAACTTTATTTGAAAAAAGAATAATATTTTCATTGAAATCTTTGTTTATCTGTATTATATGCTTATCTCTTTTAAATGTAATTGAAATTTTGAACCAAACACAAACTTGATAATTTGATGTTGCAGGCAAGGGCATTGTTGCTTCATCATATGGTGCCCTGTAAAGTACGGACTAAATAGTTTAATGTTCTTAGGCATTTCTTCGCGAAGGGAAATAACTTTTACCTTACTACAGCTATTGTTGTACTTGTGTATCAGATAAAAGTGAGGATAATATACGAGAAGTTTAACTACTTAGGTTTTCTGGTTTGATTAGGATAAAATTAGAGACTAATTACTAGCAATTTATTTCAAGAAGTGTACAACAACCATTGAGAGAATTTTACACCCTTATTATGCTTATGATTGTACCATGTAATCAACCCTTAGATTAGGTGCAAGTTCAAGTCACTCTTGGTGTAACACCTAGTTGCTCTTTTAGTTTTTTCTTGCCCATCGGTTATTTCTTGCCCATCAAACCATAATCACCAATTATCAAGAGTGATATCAGGATTTAATCCCCAAATTCCCAATTAGAGAGATTGATTTTAACTTGCTCTATGTTAATTGTATCAAATCTGAAAGATCCTTGCCATAATCCCATATTCTCACTATCAAATCTCTAATTCCCAAAGCCAAAAATCCGAAAATGAACACCCTACACAGTTGACTACAACTATTCATAGGCCATAATTAACTAGTGACTAACACCACCACCACCATCGCCAACCTTAATTTGAACTGGCCCATCCTTAGATCCCCAGCACAAGAGTTGTTGGAAATCATGCCACTCACTGCCAGAGCCCCACACCATGATTGCCTCCGCCTTCCCAGTCATGAAGACAAACATCAACTTGCAACTGTCAATCTTCGGCTAATCTTCCATTGAGGTCCCGATTCTCTTTGGTGATCTGAGATTGGAGCATGGACTTTACTTGCATATAAACCCGTGAGGGAACTTGCCCAAAGTAGACCTAACTTGTTCTACTTGATTTGACCCATTGAGCTCACTAGACCAGTCCCCTCTATCCTGTTCTTCACAAGTTTACACTGCTTTAAAACTGTTGTGATGACCTCTATTTTTACAGGATTTTTCATCATATCCATGCCCAATATTCCTTAGTTGGAAAGGTTAGGAATACTTGAAACAAGATGACTATTGAGGAAGGGAAGGAGAAATAGTCAAGGGGTGATTGACTTTTCTTTTTTGGCTGTTGTTTAAGCACATCCAAGCAGGATAAATTGAAGGAAGAAGAACGGAAGTAAGGCTTCTCTTCCTCAAACCTCAGTTATTTGTGGAGATCAAGATAAGAATCTTATTATTAAATGCTGGAAGTTGTTTTTTGTGGTTTCAGCTTCCATATGGAGTGCCTAAATCTTTGAACACAACGACATCCCTGATAATACAAATTTGAGGTTGAGTTTTTCTGACTAGTGGAATATGATTCAAGAGAAGTTTTGCTACTTAGGATTTCTAATTCAATTAACATTAAATTAGAGTCCATAACTACTAGCAATGTCCTTCCTCCATAAATAGGATTCAGGGAACTTTGCTGATATTTTGTCTTCTGATCTTCTATAAATGCACACAGCCATAGGTGGCACCTCTTTGGTGCCTTCTAACAACATTCTTCTTTTCTCTCAAAGAAAGTACTTGTAATTTCTTTCAAAGAGAATGCAAGAACATTAAGAGAATTTTATATTAGTTTATACTTATGATCAAGTGGTGCCTCAAAACTCATCTTAGGTTGAATGGCAAAGAGATCCTGGGTGTAATCCTGGGTGTAATGCTTAGTTATTTTCCTAGTTATTTTTAACTCATCAAATCATATTCCTTAAATTCTCATATGTGATATCTAAGAATCTCTAGGTTAAATTGCTACGACATTCTACGTGCCTCAAACAGGTAGATTTTTCCTTTTTTATTTTATCTATTAATTCTAATTATTCTATGTTAGAGGGCATGTAGAATTTATTTTGGAAGTTCATAGTCCTAGTTTAAGGTTTTTTAATATGTCTTTTTTTTTCCAATTTTATTTATTTTTGTTGTAAATAACTTTCGTTAAAAGAATTTGGAATGGTAAATATTCCCTTAGGATGGTCTTTTTGTCTTATTCTTCTTTTCTGCATATTTCTTCTCTTTTGTCTTTCTAGAGGATAACTTATCTCCTTTGGGTTGTATTTTCCCTTTTCTTCATCTACTACAATTTTTTTTCTATTTAAAAAAAGTTTGAACGATGAAGCACGCTCGAAACAAATTGTGAGAGGATTATGAGGAATTTTCTCTGGCATGGAGTGGGTGAGTCTTCAAGAGACCATTTGGTTAGATGGGAGTTCATGGTATGGTTGTTTTCTCTGGAATTTAACTCTTTGTGGCAGAAGGTAATCAAGAGTTTGGGTTTCACAGGAATGGCTAGGATTCTATATTCCTAGGAGTACCTCGACTTGCAGGGGGCCCTGCAAAGCCATTTGCCAGCTTTATGATCTTTTTATTCCTCTTACTTGTTTGAAGAATGCTGATGGAACCTGTATTTTGTTAGTAAAGATACCTGAATTGGTTATCTTCCACTTGCTAGGCTTGTTCCTCACCTTTATCATCTTCGAACTGTAAAAGTTCTGTTTGCCATTTCATCAATCATCTTGACATCACACCTCCTTAGATTTATGTTTCTGTAGAAATTTTAATTATAAAGAATTCCAGGATTTGATATCTTTGCTGAATACTCTTGAGCATTTTATTCTTTCTACTCATCTGGACAACAGAATTTGGATTTTGGATTCATCAAGTCTGTGCACTTTTAAGTCTCTCTTTGCCTATTTCTTTTACAATCCCAATTGCCATAATGAGGTTTTTACTAGCTCTTTTGGAAGGCCCAAAGTTTCCTCTAAGGGTTAATGTTTTGTCTAGACCTTTGATCCGGATAGGTTAACAGTAAAGATCCATTGCAACTTTCCAAGTTTAATTTTTCTATTTCTCCTAACATTTTTTATATACTACGGAGAGGCTGAGTCCCATCATCATCATCTTTTTCTGCATTTCGAGGTGACTTAGCGACTTTGGTCTAGGCTTTTTGCTAGTTCTGATAGTATGTAGGTCACCCCTCCTTCCCTTTAGGGTTACCTCTTTCTGACATTTAAAAGAGGAGGTTTGAAGAAGGATGCAAAGATGTTGTGGACCGAAGTTCTTTGTTATTGTTTTGTGAGTCTTAGTGTTGGACCCTATTTCTAGATTGTTCAAGGATCATTACTTATCTCAATCATTCTTTTGGAATAAATTGACCTTTTTTTTAAATCTTCGTGGCTAAGGCTCATTGGTTTGTCATGAATGTCTCTTTGGATATTTACAATGGAAAGCAGCATGGAATTTATTCTTATATTTTTTGCTTTCCCTTTTCTTTTTTATTCTCTTAAGAGGGTCCCTTCGCTTTTGTTCTTTTACTCTTTTTTTCTCTTCTCTCTAATAATACTTATTTTTCTAGCCAAAAAAATTAATCTGGTAACGGTCACCAAAAGTGCTCGTATGATAGTGAATCCCTGCCATTTATTTGTTATATGGAGGCTAATGCTTGTGTGATTCATCTCTCAACCTCTTTAACTTGTCCCTTGGGTGGTGTTTGGCTTGGTGGTAGATCAGATTTAGAAGCGGATGTTTTGTCTTTCATTCTGACAGCTTTTTTTCTTTAGTTCAATGTAAAGAAAATAATAGAAGTTTTTAGGACATTTGTTATCTTCTTGGTTTTGGTATGAGATTATTAATATTTTGTTAAAAGGTCACCTCTCAGGAGTGATGAGGACTTCAGGAAACTTCTAGATATTTTTTTTCTGTGGAGGTCTTCTAATTTCGTTTCTATACAAATGATGTCTGCTTGATGCCGTTGGGATGTATTGATGGAATTTGAAATGTACTTTTTCAATTTCACTAGGAATTCTTTTGGAGCTCGGTTTTCAGTTTGTTATGATGAAATTTTCATTCCATAGTAATTGAATTAAGTGGTGATTTCCAAAGAAGTTTCACAAGAATGATTCACTTGTTCAAAACATAGCATTAATGACAATGTTCATTCTAACTTTATTGTTTTTGTTCAGTGGATATCTGTAGTGCTTTTCCTTCATATGTAATGATTGAAATGGTAACAATATTGTGCTGATACTCTTGGGTGAGTCAAGGTTGGGGTTTGCTATTTGTTGCTTGGATGGGAGGTCATTACTTTTTCTTTTTCAACTCTTTGGTACAAGATGGTTGATTCCTAGACCAATGACGTGGATGCTATCTTTGTAAATGATGAAACTAAGAATGACAATTGGAGCAATTGGGGTTAAGTGTGCCTTGTACTTTACAAGTTTCTCTATTTCCTGGAAAAGAAATTTTGTGGATCATACTTACCTGAACTTGTCTTCTGCTGATGTTGTGTATACAATATCCTAAGTCCTTATATTTCTGATTGATGGGTGTTTTAAAAAATTAATTTATTGACAATATGTTACTGGGATCTTTGATACACATTCAAATGACTCTGTAAATCTTCTCTACATATGGTAATCTGGAACTAAGACATGTTTTTACGCTTCCTTTTACCTTTTTTTGTAAGATCAGATTGTGAAGAAAAGACATTGCTTAGTTCATTTCCTCTAGCATAACACTTTTTATTCCTTGAAAGATGCTAATTGCAGATTTGATGGGTTCTTGCAGTGCAGAGCAGGAGGAAATAAAGCTCAGTCCTGTTGAATTGACTCAATTTGTTGATTTCGTCAAGTGCAGCAAGCTCCAAACTGAGAGCTTCATTATTGGGGCAAACCAATGTAAGTTTACTGTGGCACTAAATGGAATTTAATATTCTTCAGCTGAGTAGGAAAAGAATTAAATGAGGAAACT